CTGATGACTTGGTGCCCATAGACCGCGTTGGTAACGCGTGAGACGCACTCTCGCTCTTTATTTTAAGTTTTCCTTTCCATTTGTGTGTGTACCTGGACAGACTTGATCGACATAACCATCGCCTCCATCTCGACCCAACTCCATCTCCGTCGAAAAACACACACCACACACACTCTTACTGCTACTAAACACCACACCAGCCGTCGGCCGGAGTCTGAGAGAAGGACGAGGTAATTGCCCGGCGCGATTTACACGGGAGGAATCTCGTTCGGTAATCATTAGTATTTGCATATTTGACGATGGCGGAGCTGGCGGCGGCTGAGATGTACGCGCCGCGTACGATACAGGTCTGGAGGACGCTCCTGAACTGGATGGCTTTCTTCTTCCAGATTTTCGCTCAGATCCTCCGCGGTACGCCGTCGTTTGGTCAGATTTTCTCCTATGTTGGTTTAGGTCACGGCAGTTTGCTCTCTTCCGCGCCGACGCAGTTTAAGCCTTTGGCTGTTGTTGAGCTGTCGGACTTCGCGGAGGAGCACGAAGAGGCTCCGACTGGACCGAATCCCGCGTCTGTTCCAGTCGCCGGCGGTGGAGAGAGGACGATTAATTCTCCACCTTTCGAGAAGCTAACGGTAACCTTCTATTAACCCTAAATTAAAATCGGATATTTTCTCAATTTGATCGGTTAACAAGAGATAAATTATCAATGTTGCTGCAATTATTATGGTTGACTTTATGGAGTGCTTATGTTAATTGTAGCCGTTGATTAAAATTGTTCAACCAATATGGTATACAGTTAATACCTAGGATATATGGGTGATTGAAGTTACTGAGATTCAACTACTATGTTAAGTATGATGGTTTCCTCAGAAATTTGAGATTAGGGATTTGATTACATATTTCCATATTTAATTCATCACCTCAATCCACCCCCAAATTATGGCAATAGAATAATGAAGAAGAAATGATGCAGTCCTGCTTTCTAACTATATTTATGGCTTGAGTGGGGAACCAATCAAAATCTTTACATCCTTGTTCGATGGAAAGGGATTTTATGATGATTGTGGTGACCGGTGGGTATTGGTGTGGCTAGATTACCGAAAAACCTTTTAAAAATACTCGAGCAAAAGAGGGTTATGGTATTCTGTAATTGCAATCACTGTACTCACTAGAACTTTAGTTTTTGCTGATTCCCATGCCATTTAAAAAACGCCAAGCCTGATAACTCAGCTGCATCTAAGCAGGAAGATGTGGGATTAAAGCGAGCTTTAAGTTAATTGCCCTACTGCCAGTGCTAGTATTAAGATGGTTTCTCAAAATCAAGTGCTAGTATTTGCAATTAGGAACAAATGGCAGAGGTTGAAAGCAATGAGTGGATTGTATTTACTACTTTTTGAATGATATAATATTTAAGGATGCAAATTCAACAAGTCTGGCATGTATTTTAGTTCTTATAGGAATAGGACTTCATAGATATACACATTGACATCTAAATGGAAGTTAAAAATGTTTATTAATAGACGAGAAGGAAAGTGTGCACATATAACACAAAAAACTTTATGAGGACGCCAATTCAAATTCATTTTTACACAATGCAAGATACAAAGAAAAGGATCCTTACCAAACTTTAGGGCCTTGATCTTGTGAGTGGATAGGACACAACTTTAACGTAATTGTTGCTAAGCTATTGACTCGGATACAAGTGAAATGAGAAGTCAAAATTGGACGGGCTATGTCTTTTGAAATTGTAATTCCATGGCACTGAGTTGTCAAAGATTTGTTTCTCCTTCAATTTTTTTTCCTAATCCAAGTGTTGAGCATTAATATATATTTAATGTATGCAGGTGGTTCTTGATTTGGATGAAACTCTGGTATGCGCATATGAGACGTCAAGCTTGCCAGCAATGCTACGCAGTCAGGCCACAGAAGCTGGTATAAAATGGTTTGAACTAGAATGCATCTCTTCTGACAAGGTAAGTACTGATTCTGTTACACATCAATCATTAAGCAGAAAAATTTAAGTCGATCTGGATATTTGATATTGCGTTGACACTATTTATTATTCAATGGATTTCAAGGAATTCGAAGGCAAACCTAAGATCAACTACGTGACAGTTTTTGAACGTCCCGGACTGAAAGAATTTCTTAGCCAACTTAGTGAATTTGCTGATCTAGTATTGTTTACAGCTGGACTTGAAGGTTTTTGTTGCTTTATGGTTCCTTACTTTTCTTGATCTTCAGCTGCAAGTTATCAGATATTATACTTGTATGGAGGAAATCAACGTATTTTTATGGTATTGCAGGCTATGCTAGACCTCTTGTTGATAAACTAGATGGAGGAAATCGATTCAGTCGTAGACTGTATCGGCCTTCTACCACTAGCACGTAAGTCTTCTGTTCATGTGTTGGTCTACCTTATGGAATCTTTGAGGTTTTCGGATTTATTACATTTTTTAAGACGTTACTAATTTTGCATTATTGCTGAGTGAGTTTTGTTCTATATTCTTGCTTTATGGAAACATTAGAAACTATAAAAGGTAGTTAATTGTTGCAGATAATGTTGACCGAGAGTATTAAGATATGGTAATTTAGATGTATGTAAATCTATAAAGCTACTCTGCCCGTATAATTTTTATGGTCATCTCATTTGTTTGCATAAATGACAGGGAGTATCGCGAACACGTAAAGGATTTATCTTCCTTGTCCAAAGATTTCTGCAGAATAGTTATTGTCGACAATAACCCATTTAGTTTCTTATTGCAACCATTAAATGGAATTCCATGCATACCCTTTTCTCCAGGACAACCGCACGACGAGCAGGTGACCAGATTAACTTGATAGAAATTCTGTGGTTCTTTTTCCTCTTATTACATATTCGCCTCTTCATTTTTTTCTAACTTGTGATCTGCATTTTTTTTATCAGCTTTTGGAAGTTATCCTTCCGTTGCTCAAGCATCTTTCTCTGCAAAAGGATGTAAGACCCGTTCTCTATGAAAGATTCCACATGCCCGAGTGGTTTCAGAAACACGGGATTCCTGCTAGTGGATGGACAACATAGGATAAAGTTGTCAAAATAAAATTCATCTGTCGATGCCTGTCTTATAATATATTATAAGCGCCCTTTAGGTAATTTATTCTTTTCACAAGTCGAGTGTCTCTAAAGCTGGAGCCCCAGAAATTTTGTACAGCAATTGTCCGGTGCATTTGAATCAGCCAGCCATTGATGAAGTCCTAAATTATCTCAAAAGTCTTGCGATCAGAGGAATTCTGTCCTACACGATCAGACAATTGTACAATTGTGAAAAAGTAAGTTTCGTATTTAATGAAGTTTCCAACATTACGTGATGTGTATCTCTGTAGTAATGCATACTGTTGTTGATACGATGAATTATTTGCTGTTACAAAGCTTTCGTTTGAGTCGCCGTCTGTATAATAGATTTTGTGACATTTGAAATGGAATATTTTTGTACATACCTCGTCACATTTCTGATAATTTATCGGTATAGAATGCCTTCTAGATTTCGGTTTTTGGATAATTTAGAAATATATATACACTAATGTGTGTATGTTTCTTGTATTGTGTGCATCACTTTATTGCTGTAAAGCCATAATACATACATATACATATAGACCAAATGAAATAAATAATATTTAGAAATGATGATTTTGTTTGAAGTGGAGGGACAAAAGTGGAACTGATTTTAGGAGCAACCCATGTTCATAAAGCTGTGTAACCAATAAAAATGGAGTTTCCACTTTCTTTTGCTCTCAGCTTTTCTTTGTTCCCTATTATCTCTTCTCATTTCCCAGGCAGCAGCTGGCTTCTTTGACTAATCTAATTTTTAATACTATTTAATAGAGTATTAATCACATTTAATTATTCCTTTTTAATGCAAATCGTCATTTTTGAATTTTTTTGGGTAATTGTTCTAATGAATGTTCAACTGACTCTAATATTAAAAGATAACAAAACGGGTGGAACTCAAATTATTTCTTCCGAAATTTCGTATCGAATGCCGCGACACGAATATTTTCCTTCACCATTTCACATCAAAGCAAATTTGCTCTACTATTTCTCTCTTTTTTTTTTTTTTTTTTTTTTATTAGGTAAGAAATTTTAATTAAATAATTAGACTTAGTTTAAGATAAGAAACATCCGAAATGTGTACTGCAAATGATCATCTTTTTTGCTGTCAAATGATCAAAACTCGAAGTAAGTAAGCTTCATATTTCTAGGAATCTTCCTTGGAAATTTAAACCCCACAATGAAAAAGGTCTTTTTCAGTTGTCTCTCTCACAAAACACGCTTTTGACCCATTTGGATTGGGCGATTGACGCTTTTTGATATTCCTAAAGAAAGTTCCTGGATTTACCTACTGAATTATACACATCTTCTCATCTTCAAATTAAATTAATACAAAAATTAAATATCTAAATTTATATATTTTCCTACAAAAAATCATGTTATTGAATCGGTCCAACCGCCGTTCTGATTCTATTTTTATAACCTAGCTGCAATTATAAATATTTCTGACATCTGATACAAATGGCATCAAATTATTACTCTTGCGTTACATTAGTACATTACATTTTCTTTTTAAATAGAGCCTTCTTTTCAATAGTGAAAAAAAGAATTAGTGAAACATTACTCTGAATATTTAATTTTAGGGTAAACTACAAACACCCCCCTGAGGTATGGTCAAATTACAAAAACACCCCTCTTGTTTGGATAATTATAACCACCCCCTCAACTCATCAAATTTAGTGGAATCTTTGAGATTATATGGAATATTATCACTTTTGTACCCGTTTTATCCCATTCAAACTCTACATAATGAAGCAAGATGACCATAATATGTGATTTTTAGCTTGTATATATCAGTTTGTAGTGCATCGAAAACTGTATTTTTTACACAAAAAGAGTACAAACTAGAGAACATTTCACGGAATCTAGATGAATATGTTGAATTTGGCACCATAAAGGTGGAGGTCTAAGAAAAAATCATAGTTGAGGGGGGTAGATGTAATTATCCAAACAAGAGGGGGGTTTTTGTAATTTGACCATACCTCAGGGGGTGTTTGTAATTTACCCTTAATTTTATGAATTTGGAAATACCTCAAATATTCTGCAAATTCACTACTTTCATCATGGAAAAATGGAAATAAGAGACCAAAATTAATTAAATTACGATATTAGTGACGTCAGACACGTGAAACTTGTAATTATACAGTAGCAATTTTAATTAAAAAGAAATTTCCATAACAAACTTATGAAAAAAAAAAAGGAGCCAGCTCTTATTTCGTAACGAATAAGGAGCTATCTACGCTTCTTCTATGCCTCTTCCACTTCTCTCACTAGATTACCTCCACTTTCTCTCTCTACAGATGAGGGGTCACCACTTCCACACATACAAACCCCCACCGCCTCCTAGATGACGACGACGACACACTTTCCGGCAGTTATCGCCACTACCTTTTTAATCTCCGTCGCCGTTTGCCTTCTTCCTCCGTCCGTCCATGCACTCGGCGGCTCCGCCGCCACCCTCGCCGTAGTCTATGGCTCCTCAACCACCGTCTGCACCATAGCTGCGCAGAACCCCATCCAGCAGATTCAATGCTGGCGGGACGGTCAGGTGCTGCCGCCCATCCTTCCAACCATCTCCTTCGACGCCGTCGCCGGCGGCCGCGATACTCTCTGCGGCGTTCGCTCCGGCGGCTTCAGCCTCCTCTGCTGGAACACGACCTTAAACCCTAAGCGAATTTACAACGACGCTTCGGCTCCGCTAACGTCTCTCGCAGTCGGCGACACTCAAATATGCGCGTTGAGGAACGTAACCACGGCGGACAATGCAATTTGCTGGCGAGAAAACAACCGCTCCTCCGCTCAAATCCCCACCGCCAATTCCCAATTCCGTTCAATTTCATCCGGATCAGAATTCTCCTGCGGAATCCGTGAGATCAGCAATCAGGTTTTCTGCTGGGGAGGTAATGCTATTTCCAATTCGATACAGTCAGATTTCGCCAACTCTTCGATGACAAATATTCAGGTCGGCGGCGGAAGTTTCGCCTGCGGAATCAACACCACCGGATTCGTCGTCTGTAAAGGGGAGAACGACAACGGACAACTAAACGTACCATCAAACACCGCGTACGAATACAGAGGGCTTGCCCTTGGGGCCAACCACACCTGCGCGATCAGAAGATTGAACCGCACAGTGGTTTGTTGGGGCGGAAATGGCGAATTCTCAACCAACATCACCGATGATATTTCCTTCGAATCAATTTCCGCAGGCCTGAATTTCACTTGTGGTTTGACAACAACCAATTTCTCTGTTATTTGTTGGGGCCCCGGTTTTCCTAATCGGTACTATTCATCAGGTTTTGAGCTTCCATTGCAGAAGACTCTTCCAGGTCCATGTGTTCACACTGCGTGTGAGTGTAATGTGTATCCTTCCTCTCAAACACTCTGTTCTGGGAATGGTCATATTTGCAGGCCTTGTGACATCCCCACTTCAATCCCATCACTTGGTCCTTCCCCCTCGTCGCCTTCTCCGCCTTCTAAAGGTCTCACAAGGGGTTTACTGGTTTTTGCCATTGTCGGATCGGTCGGTGGATTCGCTGGAATTTGCACGATAATTTACTGTTTGTGGACAGGTGTTTGTTTCGGGAAGAAGAAGATTCATAATTCCGTTCAGCCAACGATTACTGGTTCTAATGGTGCTCAGCAATCTAACAGCAGCCCACTTTCTCGATCATCGACACTTCGGCGACAAGGGTCTATACTAATGAGGAGGCAGAGGAGTGGGACATCCTCGAAAAACACAGACAAGGCAGAGGAGTTCTTGTTTACGGATCTTGTAGCAGCTACAAACGGTTTCGCCTTAGAGAACAAGATTGGAGCAGGGAGTTTTGGTGTTGTCTACAAAGGGAAACTTCCGGATGGTCGAGAAGTTGCCATCAAGAGAAGCGAAACCTGCTCGAAAACCAAAAAGTTTCAAGAGAAAGAAACTGCATTCGATTCCGAATTAGCTTTTTTATCTCGTCTTCATCACAAGCACTTAGTTAGGCTCGTGGGCTATTGTGAAGAAAGAGATGAAAGGCTGTTGGTTTATGAGTACATGAAAAACGGAGCTCTATACGATCACTTGCACAGCAAGAACAATGTCGAAAAGGGCAGTAGTTTCGTAAATTCTTGGAAAACGAGGATCAAGATATCGTTGGACGCCGCCCGTGGCATTGAGTACTTGCACAATTACGCAGTGCCACCTATAATTCATCGAGATATTAAGTCATCGAATATATTGCTAGACGAAAATTGGACAGCGAGAGTTTCGGATTTCGGGCTGTCTTTAATGGGCCCGCCGGAGAACGATCGGGATTACAGGCCAACTAAGGCGGCAGGTACGGTTGGGTATATAGATCCGGAGTATTACGGGCTGAACGTGTTGACCGCAAAGAGTGACGTGTATGGTCTTGGAGTGGTGTTGTTGGAGCTTTTGACGGGGAGGAGAGCTATATTCAAGAATGGAGAAAACGGGGGTGAGCCGATTCGTGTGGTGGACTATGCTGTGCCGGCGATAGTGGCAGGAGAAGTGGCCGGAATATTGGACGGGAGGGTGGGGTTGCCGGAGGTAAGGGAGGCAGAGGCGGTGGAATTGGTGGCGTACACCGCGATGCATTGTGTGCATTTGGAGAGCAGAGATAGGCCTACCATGAGTGATATTGTTGCTAATTTGGAGCGAGCGTTGGCTCTGTGTGATGACAGCCATGGCAGCATCTCTAGTGGTCCAATCTCCATTGTTTCCGATTGACAAAAACAAAATCAATTTATGATTCTTTCTTTTATATATTTTTATTTTTTTTATTTAAAAAGCTAAATATATGTGGGTATGATTTTGGCTAGTGTTAAGGGTTTGTTCTAACATGAGCTGTAGTGTAGGATGTGGTTAGAACACTAACAGCCACCATTTTTTTCACATAATTTATTATTCCCATTGAAAATGTTTCAATTTGTTTGGATTCAAGATTTTTAATTTATTGGTTTACTAATTTCCACAGCAAAAATTCTTGTTGCAAGAAAATGTAAAAACAATTAGGGTACGATAGGAAGTTGTACTTGACCAAATTTTGGATTAAATTATGAAAAATGTACAACAATAGGTGGTCCAATTTGGAGTCATTAAATTCTTAGTAGACGTTGAGAATTGACTTTGAGAATCTCATTCAAAGCAGTCAATTATAGGATAGCCCAGTTAATACATCAAGATGACGACACGTGTAGGGTCACCAAAGCTACTAATACTTTGGGCCATCTGTTGGACTTCAAAATTTTAGAATAGGCTGAATTTTAATAGATTCATATCAGAAATATTTAGTTTACATCATCATAATTTTGCTTTTAAAAAAAAGTTTCAAAAAAATAAAAAATAATTTTTTTCTTTTAAAAATTAAAAAAAAAAAGATAAAAAGAATTATGCCGGTCTACCAAGTGAAGGATCAAGAATTGAACTCCGATCCATCTTTAAAAAAAATCGAGCAGGGGAACTTAAAAAACGTACTAGTTTCGTGAATATTTTCTTCGTTGACGGGCTTCATTTTCGTTCATCCAGTCAGACAGCCAAACAAGACCTTTGTACCCCAAATAAGCAGATGCAATTACAATCACAACAATCACAATAACCAGCATCACCTTTTTAACAGCAGCAACTATTTTCTGCACTCGAAGAATCAATTTATTTATCATTTAAAGCGAAATAAAATTTTCCACATATTATGATGCCTAAAGAAAAATTAGCCAAACCTGAAATCTGGAAATTTTCTCCTCTTCATGTACCCTTTG